ACACAGTTCTTGCAAGCTTCTTCGTCAGTTAACTTGCCGCAATTAGTGAAGTTTACAGCAACTTTACCAGTGAAGTGAGGGAGATGTGTGTCAAAGAGAATGCGATCTGGTATAGGCTCATTATTTGAAATCTCGTTCATTGCAATTGATTTCATTAGCTTCACCATGCTTCTCATGCGAGTATCAAGTCCGCTGAATTCCTGATCTTGTAATGCTCTGTTGAATTTGCTAAATTCTCTTTTAATTTCTTTCTTGACTTCTTGAATAAGCATTGTTGCCATATCTGGTTGACTTGGAGAGCTGTATGATAAAATAGCACCTAGTATACCACATATAGCACTTGCAGCGGCACCGTAAGGCCCACCAATCATGTTTGATACAGACTGGGCGATGTTTTGTTACGAGGCGCTATGCTGAAATTTAAGATGACATTTAAAATATAGGAAATTTAATATTTAGCTTAACTTTAAACATTACAAGTGGATTAGTTACGAGACGCCATTTTGACATTTTGTAGGACTTTTGGTAATAGCAAAGTAAACGTTACAAGTGGATTAGGGAAGGCCAAGGCTAGGTATGGGTGATCGCGCTTGGAACGAAGATCGGCCAGGATCGGGAGTCGCCGTAGTTCACGCGCCCAACCATGCCCAGCCTGGCAAATAGTATGAATCACGAATAATGGTAAAATAGATGCTTTAAGAAAGTATTTGTAGATATAATTTATATTGGAGAGCTAWATGTRGTACCATCAGCCAGGGGCACACCCCTCACGGGATGCCACAAAACCAGACAAATCCAACCATTCCCAGAAAGTTCTAATCCCAGGAAAAGCGAAAGGATTGGCTGCAAATTGGTGTGGGGTAAATTTTAATACCCCAGGTAAAACCCAAACACTGTCTGATTGTAGCACATATAAGCCGAACAGATTTGTGAAAGAAGTTAGAAGTTAGAACTGAGATCACAATAAAAGAACCAAAGAACACAGAAGTTATATTGAATCCACGGTTCCTAACAGTTTAAACATCCTTTAATGATTCGTGAAGGTTCACCACTCGTCAGGTCGTCAAGAGAAGTAATGGAGGTCTCGATAACTTTACCAACATCTGCAATCTTTTGTATTTCATTGTCAGACTTTCTTTCGTCGACCCAATCGCGAATGCTTTGAAATTTCTCTGTGTCAGGCGAGAAAAGGCCCTGGCATCGGCTGGCCAAACACCCTAAATTCTGGGTGTAATAAATTATCTTAACATTACACATCCATCGTCACTATTTATTTTGAGTGCGTGTTAAGTCCTTGTAACGGTTTGAATTACATTCAACTACAAGTATTTTCACTACAATAGAATTATTCGAAGTATATTTTCAGCGTTAAATACAATAGAACTGTTTTAACTTCAAAATCGATATAAAAAACATCGGAAGGTAAAGGTTAAGGTAAAGCGGCTTAGCCAGTAAGGGTCAATCATAACGTTCTGGTTGACAGATGCTTCACAACACTGATTCTCATGAAGAAAGGTTTTCACAGAAAATGCAATCAAAACTTTACTTTACAACAAAAAGACCCTGATCAGCTATGGAGTACTGCTTGTCTTAAAATCTGTCTCAAGAGCGTGTTTTCATCGAAAATCTTTCGTAATGTGTCAAAAAGTCGTTTGGATAAATTATAAAAACAAAACTTTCTCTCAGTCAATCAAATTAGAGATGTCGCTAGCCGATGCCAGGGCCTTTTCCCGCCTGACCCCAAGCGAATGGATAAGGCCCTGGGAACGAGGTTGTAATATTCACTTAAATTTGTTAAAATGTCATCTAACTCTGATATAAGGTAAATATCGGAAGCCGACTCTGAATACAGCTTTATTCCTTTTGACGGCTGCTACGTCACTTTTCGTCCAGGCCCCAATTTCCCGGTATAAAAAGCACAGGAAGCTATAATTTTCTTAAAAAGCTTGACCATCCGATAATTTGAGGAAATAAATAAATAAAATAAACGTTATTCGGAAGGGATATTTTACAATTCAAAATATAGCAAGGTCTCGTGAGCTGTTTCGTTTATGCAGGTTTATAAATAGAGCGATTTCTGATAGTGATAAGCGTATTTTTGATTTGCAAATCACTTGAAAATACAAATATGTCAACGACCCGCGGTTCGCGATTAACTTTTTCTTAAACAATAGAAAAAAAAGCAAAAATAATAATAAAAATTAAAAAAAATTACCCTTCTTTCGAATGGCTTATAGGGCTGTTTTATTTGTCGTATAAGAAAGGTTTACAAAGTAACAAATAATACAGGGAAATTTTATTCAAAACTTCCTCAAAATCAAAAAGAATAAACGTTGCAAACGAAGCAATTCTAAGGACAACAGTCCTTTAGTTTTATCAAACTGCCTTTGAAAGTAAGATTTTCTATATTTTAAGCACTGGAAGACTGTTTTTTTTTTTGTCCCGTTAGAAACACGAAGTCCATTGTTGGGAGAACACGAGAAAGGCTTTGGGCATGACCGTGTCTAGACGTAGTCACCGTAGCAAAACTAAACTTTTAATGTTTTCTCTGCTTTACAGTCTTTTAAAAGGTTTACAGCCAGTTTACAGTCTGCTTTACAGTCTCTTAAAAGGTGTTTTGATCGTAACAAATAGCGTTTCGCGCGTATTTTTAAACTCCATCTACGTCGCAAATTTTGATTCGATTGCACTCAAATTCAGTCACAGAAGTATAAGTGACTATCGATAATTCTTATTTATAGATAAATTTGCCAAAACAATTGAAGCTATTTGGATAATCAATACAAAATAAAAACACCTTCATTTTTCTTCAAAGTCAATTTTCTCAAAACTCGTCGCAGAGATTGTAATAAAATTTTCAGAGTCATTTCTTAATAACATAATTGACATACTGACGAAGTTTGAATGAAATCTTAACCTAAATTTTCGAGATATTTGAGCATTTCAAAATGTTTCTC